ATAAAAGTTTTCCCTAAGAGGTAACAGTGGCTCAGGGATAGTAATGTGAGGCAGAAAATTTGGTGAAGTGGAAGCTTCCCCACTGCTACGTTTTTCCATGGAGAAAACTTTATATTAAAAAAATGCCAATTTAATTTTTATGAAACAATGCAACATAATGAATGGAAGGCAATAAAATATCAGGCTAGGCAATGTCAAAATTGTAATTAACTTTTTCCAGATGGTTATTCTTAGGAAGTATATATGTGAGTGTGTGTGAGAGTGAGTTTTGTTATATGGTGAAGGTGGTGGGGGAGTTAAACCTAAAATACACAGAATCACCCAAACAAACAAACAAACAAACAAAAAACCTACCACTTTATTAATTCACCTTAATGGTCTGTGACTGTAGAGCCAAAATGAAAACTAAAATACTTATTCTAGTTTGGATTACCAGTGAAAGGAAAACTAAAACTAAAAGTTTCACTTAAAACTGTTTTGGTTTTACTTCCAGTAAACAGTGCAATGTATCTTTTCTTTTGTTGAGGTTGGAAGTGTATGTACAAAATCTCCTGTGTTTTTTGAACATTAAGAAATGCTTTTAGAGATTTATTTAGAGATTTTTTTAAAAAAAGATTTATATAAATTAATACATGGGACTTCTTGTTTACTAAATACATGCCAGAGATCTCAATCTAGTTAGGGATTTCTAGTCTTCCTATCCGTAATTTTCTGTAAAGCCAAATCATTGCTCAGGGTTAGCTCCTCTTCTCCAAGCAGGAAATTGGTATAGGGCAGTGGTGGCGAACCCATGGCACAGGTGCCAGAGGTGGCACTCAGAGCCCTCTCTGTGGGCACGCGTGCCATCGCCCCAGCCAGGCCCAGACCATCATTAAAGTGTCAAATTCTCTGCCAAATAATTTTAAGTAAATTAAAGCATTTGGGATTGCTTTCCTTACTTTGTTTGGATCATCTTAAGTTAATGTATGAGTTGTTTTTTCTAAAGTAAAACCTCAGTATACAGGTTAAATTGCCGTGTTGGCACTTTGCGATAAATAAGTGGGTTTTGGGTTGCAGTTTGGGCACTCGGTCTCTAAAAGGTTCGCCATCACTGGTATAGGGAGGAAGGACTGAAGATGAATCCCTCCCCCCCTCACAAATTGAAACAACTGCTCTGGTGGTTGTACTTGGAAAAAGAACTTTGACGTTATCATGGGACTAAATGTAACACGTAGTACTTTCTGAGGACAAAATCTCAGTGCTGTTAAACCGGAGTACCATGACTGATCTTGATTACTATGGAGATGGCTCAAATTAACTAGGCTGTGAAACAAATAACTTGAATTGCGCACTGAGAAACTGAGTGAATGCAAGCTGTGAAGTGCACACTGAATTTGCTGTCTGTTACCATTTGTTTGCTATGACATCTTGTGATAACAAGATGCATATTTTAGAGGTTAGTACATGTTTGTAAGAAAAGGTATGCTACTCAGGGATGACAAAGTAACTTGTGTAAGATGAAGAGTTGGGAATGGACATTGTATTTATGCAGGGTGGACAAGGTGAATGGTAGAATAACTCAGCATAAATAATTCATAACTATTATTGTATATAGAATGACTGCTTGTTACTGCTTCTTTAGGAGCAGAAATTGGTCGATTACTATTATCACGTATTCAGGAAGGGAAGGTCAATTTTGAATAGTACATGGGAGATGCAAATCACTGTACTCTGACAGGGCTTGACAAATTTTCTTTGGCTCTAGGAGCCAGTCCCAAAATTTAGGAGCCAGACTCAATACAAGAACTCATGGGCACTCAATGAAATTGCTGAGCGGTCGGGTTAGAACGGATAAAAGGAAGTACTTCTTCACCCAAAGAGTGATTAACACATGGAATTCACTGCCACAGGAAGTGGCGGCGGCTACAAGCATTGACGGCTTCAAAAGGGAGTTAGATGAGCATATGGAGCAGAGGTCCATCAGTGGCTATTAGCTACAAGATATAGATAGGAACTCTGGGTCAAGTGATGCACTGTATTCTTGGTGCTTGGGGGGGGGGGGTCAACAGTGGGAGGGCTTCTAATGTCCTGGCCCCACTGGTGGACCTCCTGATGGTACCTGGTATTTTTGGCCACTGTGTGACAGAGTGTTGGACTGGATGGGCCTTTGGCCTTATCCAACATTGGCGTCTCTTATGTTCTTATGTTTATGTTCTTATGTTTCAGCTTTCAGAGTTATGTATTTTAATAACCATGTGTTTTTCTTATTGTTACCATAAAACCTAGTCCTAACTTCTTCTCATAATTTAATTAAAGCTATGACAAAAATTTTGTATATAAATGGATATAGGGATAGCCCTGGCTGTCCCCACTAGAACAAAAAGCTTGGTGTAGTGGTTATGTGTGTGGACTCTAATCTGGAAGAACTGGGTTCGATTCACCACTCCTCCACTTGCAGCTGCTGGATGACCTTGGACGTCATAGTTCTGTCAGAGCTGTTCTCTCAAGGTCATCTCTGGAAAGAGCTCTCAGCTTCACCTACCTCACAGGGTGTCTGTTGTGGGAAGACAAAGGCGTTTGTAAGCCGCTCTGAGACTCCGAGTGAAGAGTGGAGTATAAATCCAAACTCCTCCTCCTCCTCCTCCTCCTCTCCAGCCTACCTTCTCTCCTATTTCTGATCATTCCATTATTGCTTTAAAAAGCTCTAACTGGATATTGAAGCCTGTATAAAGAGCAACACATTAAGAAATGAACACATCTTCTGCCACTGAATATTGTAAATATGTAAAAAAGCAATGATAAAAATATGCATGTGTTTTTATGCCACATAGCAAAATGTATTCTGATACAAAATGATAAATACACTTTGAATGTCTACTGAGGATTGCTGAGAAACATTGCTGAAAATAGTATGTGCCACAATTAATTCTCTAGGCATCATGGTGACCTGGCATCTGACATTTGTCAAGCCCTGCTCTAGTGCTCGCATATTCTGTGAAGAGTAGTGTTCCCTTATGCAGTCTTTAAATTTCTCATTGTGTTTGGGGAAATTTTTTCCTGTGTCATTTATAGTAGTTACTTTATTTGAGAACTTGTTAATATCCAAATATAGTTGTCCTGGAAATGGTTGGCAGTTAAAACAAAATGCCCTTCATAATAAAGCAAAAATAGGTTTACAAACACACCTTTCCTCTATCATGATAATATATAAGCAGAGGCATTTAATATAATGATTGCACATTTTAAATCCTCCTTTCTTTTGTTTATAGGCTTGCATAGATGATAACGTAGATATGGTGAAATTTCTGGTGGAAAATGGAGCCAGTATTAATCAACCTGATAATGAAGGCTGGATTCCTCTACATGCGGCTGCTTCCTGTGGATATCTTGATATAGCTGAGTAAGGATTGCTTTTCCATGTTTAATTATGTATCTTAATGTTTGGCATATTTTTGGTGCAGCAGGTGCTGACAGGAAAGAATTTAACTTCAGGAATATCTCAAACCCCCCCCCCCCCCATTATAAGGTGTATATCAAGTTTGGAGCAGCGCACATATGCAGATACGGATCATCACGCTGCAAGCTTTTGTTTGGTTGATGCACATTATAACTTACAAGGGGGGACCCGCGATACTCGCGGGGGGGGGGGCAGAGGAGGAAGCAGCAGGAGGAGGGAAGAACCCCCCCATCCCGGC